GGGCTTAACAGACATCTATAGAACACTAAACCCCAGAAAAACGGAGTACACTTTTTCTCAAGCGCACACGGATCATTCTCCAGGATCGATCACATACGGGGCACAAGACAAACATCAACAGATACACCAAGATTAAAATCATATCAAACCATCTTTTCTGACCATGAAGGCATCAAACTAGAAATAAACCATAAAAAGAAGGCAAGGAACTTTCCTACCTCATGGAGATTAAAAACCACACTACTGGAAGACCACTGGACTAAGGAGGAGATCAAAGAGGAAATTAAAAAATTTTTTGAATTGAACGACAAGGAGGACACCAATATCCTAAATGTATGGGATGCAGCAAAAGCAGTAATAAGAGGAAAATATATAGCAATAGAAGCTCACATCAAGAAACAAGAAAGAACTCAAAGAAACAACCTAATCTCGAAGCTCAAAGATCTAGAAAAAGAACAACAAAAAAACCCCAAAACCAGTAGAAGAAAAGAAATAATAAAAACCAAAGCAGAAATAAATGAAATTGAAACTAAAAACAATCCAAAAATCAATGAAACCAAGAGCTGGTTCTTTGAAAAAATCAATAAAATAGACAAACCCCTAGCCAGGCTCACAAAGGAAAAAAGGGAGAAAGCACAAATAACAGGATCATCAATGAAAGAGGAGAAATCACAACGGACTCAGCAGAAATCAAAAGAATAATCAGTAACTACTATGAACAGTTATATGGAAACAAGTTTAACAATCTAGAGGAGATGGACAAATTCCTACAACTCTACAATCACCCAAAGCTAGATAAAGAAATAGAACACCTAAACAGACCAATTACAATTAGCGAAATTGAAATGGTAATTAAAAACCTTCCCAAAAAACAAAAGCCCAGGACCTGATGATTTACAAATGAATTCTACCAAACATTCAGAGATGAATTAGTGCCTATCCTTCACAAACTCTTCCAAAAAATTGAGAAGGAAGGGACAATACCAAACACGTTCTATGAAGCCAACATTACACTAATACCAAACCGAACAAGGACAACACAAAAAAAGGAAAACTACAGGCCAATCTCCCTAATGAACACTGATGCAAAAATCCTCAATAAAATTTTAGCCATCAGAATCCAACAATGTATCCATAAGATAATTCACCACGACCAAGTTGGATTCATTCCAGGGGCACAAGGATGGTTAACATCCGAAAATCAATCAACGTTATCCAACACATCAACAAAAAGAAATATAAAAACCATATGATAATATCAATAGATGCTGAGAAAGCTTTCGACAAAGTGCAACACCCATTCATGATAAAAGCCCTTGAAATTCTTGGGATACAAGAACATACCTCAACATCATAAAGGCCATCTATGACAAGCCAACAGCCAGTATCATTCTCAATGGTGAAAAGCTGAAAGCAATTCCATTAAGATCTGGAACAAGACAAGGATGTCCACTCTCACCACTGCTTTTCAATATAATACTAGAAGTCCTAGCCAGGGCAATAAGACAAGAGAAAGACATCCAAGGAATCCAAATAGGAAAAGAAGAAGTCAAACTATCACTATTTGCAGACGATATGATATTATACATAGAGAAACCCAAAACTCCACAGAAAAGCTAATTCAACTCATCAATCAATTCAGTAAAGTGGCAGGATACAAAATCAACACGCAAAAGTCAGTAGCCTTCCTATACACAAACAATAAATCTGAAGAAGAAGAAATCAAAAAAACCATCCCTTTTGTTATTGAAACAAAAAAAATCAAAATTTGGGAATCAATCTAACAAAAGAGGTAAAGGACCTATACAAAGAAAACTATAAAACACTGTTAAAAGAAATAGAAGAAGACACAAAGAAATGGAGATCCCCTGCTCGTGGATTGGAAGAATAACATTATTAAATGGCCATCCTTCCAAAAGCAATATACAGATTCAACGCTATTCCAATCAAAATTTCAATGTCATTCTTCAAAGAAATAAACAATTATTGATGAAATTCATATGGAATCACAAAAAACCCCGAATAGCCAAAGCTCTCCTGAAAAAAAAAGAAGGGAATGGAGGCATTACACTCCAGACTTCAAACTCTACTACAAGCCATAATCATCAAAACTGCATGGTATTGGAACAAGAACAGACATACAGACCAATGGAATCGAATAGAAAATCCAGAAATAAACCCACAGATTTATGGTCAACTAATCTTTGACAAAGGAGCAAGACTATGCATTGGAGCAAAGAAAGTTTGTTCAATAAATGGTGCTGGGAAAACTGGGTCGCTACATGCAAAAGAATGAAGCTTGACCACTACTCACACCATACACAAAAATCAACTCAAAATGGATTAAAGAACTAGACATAAGACCTGAAACCATAAAATATATAGAAGGAAATATAGGCGAAACACTACGTGATTTGCACATCAAAGACATCTTTACAACCACATCATCACCAAATATGATAGTAAGCAAAGATAAACAGCTGGGACTACATCAAATTAAAGAGCTTCTGCACAGCAAAAGAGACAATAACAAAAACAAAGAGAAACCCCACCAACTGGGAGAACATTTTTGCACCCAACACTAATGATAAAGGACTGATCACAAAATCTGCAAAGAGCTGATGAGACTCAACAACAACAAAGAAAATAATCAGTCAAAAAATGGGCAGAAGAGCTAAAAAGAAAACTTCTCTGAAGAGGAAATGCAAATGGCCAACAGGCATATGAAAAATGTTCAACATCACTTGCCATCAGGAAAATGCAATCAAAACTACCATGAGATACCATCTTACACCAGTGAGAATGGCACATATTAAAAAAACTAGCAACAACAAATGCTGGCGAGGGTGTGGAGAAAAAGGAACTCTTCTACACTGTTGGTGGGTGCAAACTGGTCCAAACCACTAAAGCTGTATGGAGATTTCTGGACCTACTAAACATAGAGCTTCCATATGATCCAGCAATTCCACTCCTAGGTATTTACCCAAAGGACACAGAAACATCAATTCCAAAGAACACCTGCACCCCTATGTTTATAGCAGCACTGTTTACAATAGCTAAGCTTGGAAACAACCCAAACCCAAAAAATGAAATCAAGAAGATGTGGTCCATATATACCATGAATATTATTCAGCATTCAAAAAGATAAACACATGCAATTTGCAGCAACATGGATGGCGCTGGAAGGGATCATGCTCAGCGAAATAAGCCAAAAAGAAAAAGAAAAAACCGGATGGTCTCACTCATAGCAGGAATCTAGAAAACTTAAATAAGGGACCAGGAAAAGAATAACTATAAGAAAGTGAAAATCAAAATCAACAAAAAACTATGAACCAGAGACACTTTTAGGGGGGGGGGGCGGGAGGGGAGGGATTGGGTCAGAATGGGGGGCTGCAATTGTATGGGGAATACAACAATAAAATTTATTATTAAAAAAAAAAAAATTAAAAAAAAAAAAAAATAAAACTGTCCAATAAAAAAAAAAAAAAAAAAAAAAAAAAAAAAGAATAGGCAAGCATGATTAGATTTTGGTTAAGATGAAGAAAATACACAACCGTTTAAAAAAAGTGCAATAGACACGGGAGAGCCATAACGGATACTGAATTAATGACAGGGTTTGTACACGCAGACTAACTCTCGTAAGGTCTGAACCCAGAGGAGCCACGGGCGATAGTAGCTAGTTTGGCCAACTGCTGGGCTCTCCTCATGGTCTGCACCGACTGACCTGAGAGGCTCCTGTTTGGGGTGCTCCTACAGCGCACGGCTCTGCTCCTTGCTCCATCCTGACGATCACCTCAGGTTTCATCATGCAATGCCTGGTGATGAGAAATATCTGTTTAGGCTTCAGTCTTTGAAGAGTGACAATAGCAGAGTTGTAACTTTTGCACATGAGGGGCTAATTGTATACATTCTTGGGGTGGTGAACAATCTAGTTGGCATGAAGTCTTAAACCTATAACGTACATAGTTAGAAAAAGCTGCACATGTATCACTGAAGGAGAGTTTGCACTTGGTGGTGAAGGAGTCTGGCTCACCCAGGGATGCCAAGCTCCTGTAGGTCTCCAGCATCACGTCCCTGTAGAGGGTCCTCTGAGCGTCGTCCAGGTCCTGCCACTCCTCCCAGGTGAAGGCCACAGCCACGTCCTCAAAGGTCACCGCCTCCTGTAACGACACCATCTCCTCAACTCAAGGCATTTATAGTCGAGTCAGAAGAACTAGAGGTCTGAGATTTCATTCTTTGTGTCTCATGTAACACACCTTCATGCTCTGTACTCTACATTGTGACACTCAGAGACAGCACCACAGAAAGGTCCTGTGCGTTAACACATTAGTTTCCCAAAATGCTATCTGAAAGTTTGCCTTATAAATCTGAAAATGCAGTTCATTTTTTAAAAAAACATTTTATTTATTTTTGCATAGAAGAATTGGGGTATGGGTCAGGGCTGTGGGGACTGAGAAGATTCACCAGAGATAGAGTAGGGAGCAGAACAGGCAGAGCCACTGAAATACACTGCTGAGGGGAGCGAGTGGGTGAGCTCCTTGGCCGGGGCTTGAACTCAGGCCAACCAGGTGATAACATTGAGACTTTACCCCTAGGCCACCAGGGGGGCCCTGCACTTCATTCTTAGAATAAAACTCTGCTCCTGAAAGGACCTCATCATCTGGATTGGAGACATAATCATAACAAATACACGGAACAATGTATTTGTCAAAAACATGCTCAATATACACAGAATGTGGGATACAGTGAGAAAGAAACAGCACTTTCTATCATCCATTAGTTCTTCCATGTGAACCACGTTTCTCATGTATGAGGCAGTAACTGAACTCAGGATGCAAGGAGAGGACGAGTAGTTTTTGTGAAATGAGACAGTCAAGACCCCTCTGCCCAGGTTAATGTTCCTCTCTTCGGTTGTGAAGAGACAAATATATAAAGGTATTCACGAGAACGGAGTGACATCATTCTGCATTTCTATATACAACAATAAGAAACCTTACATGGCCAGTGTTTTTCACAACTTCTAAATGGCCAGTTATGTGTGTATGCGTCCTGTTTCCTAAAAGGTCGTCCATTTCCACCCCACAGTGAGTGGAAACCACTCCCCAAAGCACAAGGATAACGAGGCCCCACAGAGTAAGTTACATGATTGTATATGCCTTTTTATCAGCTCCCTCTTAAGAGATGGACTCGGGCTTCAGGGACACTCAGAGAGAGGCCAAAAGAGACCACCCACATGAGATTACACAGCAATGACACCGGAGGCTGCTGCTAACACGGGGTGAAAAAAACAGGACCAGAACTAAATTCCTGTCAGAAGGCTAACTGGGGAATTTGACCCCAGGCTTCTGGAATGATTCAGGCATAATGGCACTGTAAATGGAAACTGGTGAAAGACTAGGATGGGTATGGTTGAGACAGAGAGAAATTGAGGCGTCTGTGGTCAAACATGAGACTGTCCCACTAGCATGGGGACGGCTCATATACACACCGGAGACATCTGAGGCGAGATAAAATGCGTAAGCGGTCACGCTTCAGTGGTAGCTGGAGACTGAAAGTGAATGAATGGTTCAAAGAGAAAGGAAGAGACTGAACAGAGAAACAGCACAGAATCTCCACCATCAGATTTTGTGTCTTTTCATTTTTACCTTTTGTAAAATATTTACTTCACTCTGTGCCCTTAAGCCCATACTCCACTGAATAAGCTATATTCTTGTTTGTGGAATTTCTTTAAAATGATTCTTTCCAATCCTTTGTTAGTCGAGGCCTACATCTACGCTTCTGCGGGCCAGTTAATGGAACTGTTGTGCGTCCTTAGGGATGTCACGGCTCCTTGGTTTTCTGGTTTCTGGCAGCCCAGCAAGCCCGTGGGGGCAATTGCCTCTGCACAATAGCCTTCCTCTCCAGATGTACAGAAGGGGTCCCTGTTTTCAGCATCTGCCAGGGAACAATCTCCTTTTCTGTAGTGGGACAGTGTGTGGTCGAAGGGGACACTTCCTGGCGCTGGGCTGGTTTCCATGCAGCCTGGCACTGGTGATGGCACCAGCGGGTGCTGCTGGCCACCTGTGGGGCATCTAGAGCTGGGGACTGGCACACTGATGCTTGGGTAACAACAGTGGCTCTGGGACTGGGGGCACTGGCTATCTTGTAGCAATAGTGAGTATAGAAAATTCTAATGGAGAAGAAGAGTTACTGTATTTCTTTGTGAGCACTAATGCAGATATCATATTATATTAAAGAACCAAAAAAAAAAGTGGTAATACATGAGATTGCTCCTGAGAGCAGGAGTCCAGGAGAAATGCCCATGTTGCCTCCCTGGTGGAGCAAGGGGTTAAGCACCGCACTATGAAGCAATTCGCAGCCTCTGCAGCACAAGTTCAATCCCCAGTTGGCTGGGGAGCAACCCACATGGTGCAGCAGACCTCTCCTGATTTGCCCGCTGCTCCCCTCAACAGTATATTTTGGTCAGTATATTTGCCTATTCTGTTCCCCTCTCTGTCTCTGGTGAATCGTCTCACTCCCGCATCTCTGGTCTGTACCCCAGCTCTTGTATGAATGAATGAATAAATAAATAAACATGCCCATGTTGAGGCCTGAGTCACTGGCTGGAAGGAAGTGACACTGTAAGTAAGGACAGACTTGAGAATGTGGTTTTTACTTTGGAGTTCCTGAGCTCCAGGTGGGCCCTTGGACACTAACAGAAGCAAGCAGTGTGTTGGGGCGCTGGTGGGGAAAGTGGAAAAGGTCAGATCTGCAAACCTGAGGGCTGACTCGGTTAGGGAGACCTGCACAGTGCTAAGAACGGGCCTGGGTTTAGACACCAGCATAAGCAGAAGAAACAAGAATTCAGAGAAACAGAAGAAATCACAACAGATTGTGACAGAAGCTAACAGACAAGAATTTCCAGGAGTGGATCACGACTGCAGTTTCATAACTGGCAGACACTGCACTGAAACAGAGTAGAGAACAGTCACTGATCAGACTATAACCGAGGGCATAGGTGAGCTTTACAAGAAATGAAGGACTACATTGAAATGTATAAGAGCAAAACAGCAGTGGAAACATCTGTGAAAAATATAACTTTGGGGCCTCCATGGTGGCACAGGGGTTAAAGTCAGTGCTATCAAGCTGTCACCAACAATTGTGGTCGGAGTTTGGTCCCCAGCCAGGTAGCTGACCATGGCGCAGCAGACATTTCCTGTCTCCTGCTGCTCCCCCCTCAGCGCGTATTTCAGTACGCCCCACCTCTGGCCTGTACCCCCAGTTTCTGAATGCATAAATAAATAAAAATAAATGTTTAAAAAACACACATATATATGTTTATATATATAATAATGTTATATATATAATATAAATGTTATTTTTATATATACGTAATAATATATATAATATATCACTTTGAACAGTCTGTGCAACCTGCATGTGGAGACCAGGGGAGAGAGATGCATGGAGTTATTCAAGGACCTGTGGCCAACTCCATCCTCACTGCCTCAGGTAAGGCCTTCCAAGGTCGTCTGCACCGCACTGTTAGTCTCTGCAGACAAACCTCATCAGTTGGTGCTTTCTGTGGAAAACCATCGTCACTGCTACATGCAGGAAGTGCTAAGTTCTGATGGGGAAGGAGACTCTGTCCACGGCATCATCTCTCCGACCTGCAGACTGTTTCAGACTTCTGTGCCTGCAAGTGTCCAGGTCCTCCGAGAAAGGGTCTGATTTCTGATCAGAAACCAACGCATCTGTCTTTCAAAGCAGTGGTGTGAGAGAGACCAGAGACAGTGTTCACTCACCTGGATGCCCCAGTCAGATGACCTGTCTGTGCCCAGTGGCCACCTTCATCTACTTTATGCAAATGTTGTGAAGGGCAGTCTTAACTACATTTCCATTTGTATTGAGTTTTCCACGCTAATTATATCTCCACAAAGCTCAAGACAAAGTCGCTGAAAAAAAAAAAAAGACTTACCATTTCTAAGATTAATGTCTCTTGTTTCTTGATCTAAGAAACACTTAGAGGACTGTGGAAGTTGAGCTGAAAGAGAAGGAGAATGGAGTCAAGTTATGAAATGACTAGAGCTCCTTGCTCCTAGATTCTCCTCCTGTGCAAAGAACTCCACACATTAGCTGGAAAAAGAAGAGTCTTCTGGGGGACAGTACTATTTTACATGTTTCAAAGATGCAGGGAGGGAACCCAAAGTTTTTAGTTAGTAAAATTTAGACTTAAATATCCTTAAGGTAATTAAACCACACAAATCCCACTGACTTACCAACAAAGAATGCTGAGAATTTATTTAAAAAATTTAAGGACACTTACAACACTTTTGAGCCTAGATTTTAGAGGAAAGTTGCACATATTGTACATTCCTGGTGGTGTGCTGTCCTTGTACAGGTTCCCAAGACTTATTCAATCAGTGGATATGATGCAGAGGATTAGTAAGTTTTCAGAAAAGTGGTTTATCTCTGGAATTTGCATTCTTGGATGCTGTCACTTGTGAGGACACCTGGGGATAGTGTTGGGGATACATGGATTAGCCAACAGCCAGACAAACCAACAGAAAAGTAAATGAAGTCACTTTAAACCAACAGCTTACAGGAAGAAACCAGAAGACTAGCCTCATTGGGATGCAGGCAACACAAGCATAAAAATTGATGAAACTAGATGCAGGCCCAAAACGTGGGAACTTCCAAGGCCTCCCTGGTAGCTCGGGGTTACGTCTCAGCACTATCACAACTAAGGTCTGAGTTGGCTCCCAGCCAGGGAGCTGACCCACATGGTGCAGTGTGACCTCTCCTGTCTCCCTACTGCTCCCCTCAGCAGTGGATTTCATTCAATCCACGTGTTCTGCTCCCCACTCTGTCTCTGTGAGTCCTCTCAATGCCCCCCACCCCCACCCACCTGGCCTATACCCCTCTATGCAAACAAAAAACCAAACAAACACAAAAAAAAAAAAAAAAAGCAATGTGGAAACATCCGCAAATAGAGTGCTTGGGTCTTTTATTTCCCCTGCAAGCCAGAGAAATTTGGTTGGTTCTTTACACAGTAAATGCTAAGTGATATAGCTAACCCCCTAAACACAATGTTTGTAACAAGTCAAGTGTGGAAGGGGCCTTGAATTATACATCAAATACAATCAAGATAACATCACCACGACATCTAGAAATGTTAAGCCATAAAGACTGTCAAGCAGATGGATTCAGTAATAGGGGAATTAACAGAGGGCATGGGAATCACTCACACTCGCTGCCTGCAGAGCGTAAGACTGTGTTTTCATTGTTTATCATTAAGGAGACTTATGCACTCAAAACGCAGTTTGCTTTCGTTTAAAAAATAGCTTAGGAGCTGGCATGTGTATTCTAATGTTCCGATTTTATTTTTCATTTTTTATTTTTTAAAGATTTATTTATTTGTTTGTTTGTTTATTTATTTATACAAGCACTGGCTACAGTCAGAAGCGCAGGAGGGTGAGAGAATTCACCAGAGCCAGAGTGGGGAACAGAACAGGCAGACTTAACGAAGTACACTGCTGAGGGGAGCAGTGGGCGCTGCAGGAGAGGTCTGTGCGCCATGAGGGACCCTCCTCCCGTGGCCGGAGAGCAGCTGGGGATCGAACAGGCGCCGCAGAGGCTGCGGGCAGCTTCGCAGCCCAGCGCTCAACCGCTGCGCCACCGGGGAGGCCCATGTTCCAATTTTAAATAGAGAACATGCCCCTTAGTCATTTTCAAGAGATTTTACATTAAATGTGCGTCATGAACCACTTGGGCTCACGGGAGAACAGGTGTGTTTATGGGGAGATCGTGTGCCTTTTCTCAGGGGAAAACCAAAAACCAGAAAAACCTCCAACCTCCGTGCTTGGGCTTCACTGTGTCAATAGGGATAAATCAGCCAAAAGTCAAGCAGCCTGATGTAAACAGCCTGATGTGACCTGGCAAATAATTTCTCAAGTCAAATTATTGCATGTTTCCTATAAAGCAAAAGTCAGGAGGACAATCCTTCTGAAACTCCAGGAGCAACATTAAGATCGAGGGAGGAGGAAGGGTCAGCATTGGGGGCGGCTTAACTGTGATTCCGGAAACGGGGGAGGATGAAGATGTGAGTGAACTTAGGCTGGAACATAAACAGGCCTTCTCAGCTGGGACAGCGCCCAGTACCCCAGAGACTGCCTGCTTGTGCCTATGCAAGTACCTTTTTACCTTCCTTTTTTAATACTCCTTCTCTGGTAAAATGAAGTTGCCTGTTTGTATCTATGCAAACCTCTTTCTTCCTTAATAAACTCGCAACATGCCATTGAATGGGAAACTGCCCAAACTTTCTCAGAGGTAATCCAAGGATACCACTTGCTGAACCCCTATATCACATCTGAGGACCACCTTTCTGAACCTCATCAATTCCATGGGTTGCTCAGCAGCCTTTACTCTCCCAGATATGACCCAATGTCCAGGACCCCCCTTTATCCCCACACCAGCACTCAGATCCCTCATCCACCCTGCCGACTGGCTTCTGAGCGCCGAGGGGCTGCTTCCTCACACAGCCCCCCCGACTCAGCTTCTGGACACAAGGTACTTGGAAACGGAGCAGTGAAAACACAGCTCCGAAAGATGCTGGCACATGGAGAGGCTGCTGGCCTGAGGGCAGGGCCCCAGGCTTCTGGGGCTCCATTTTGTGTACCTTCTGTGACTTCCGGGGATTAGCTGTTGTGAAGACAGAGCTAAACTATGAATTTGATCTACTCTCAGATTCTCCTGATTTCTTGGTAAATGGAATTGATGGGTACCCTCACATCCTGTCAGGCTTTGCATAAATACCTCCTTCTTTCCCCTCCCCTTATCTCACAAGTATATAGCACACATTAGCACATATGTGTATGTGTATTGTGTACATATATATATAGTACACAAATACACTACCAAATATAGTACCACAATTGTGTGCATACATGTTTCCAACAGTGGTTTACTGCCTATTGATGGCTTAGAGAAAATTATAGTGGGGCAGAAATAGCATCATCTTACTGGTTTGAAGAGAGTTGTTGTCAAGTGATGCTGTCCATGATCTGGCTGCCTCAGCTTGCATAGAATAGACACTTCCTTCCCACAGCTGTGTCTAGACAACAGTACACACAGTCAAAATAGGGGTAGAGCCTCCCCTGGTGGCGCAGGCAGTTGAGCGCAGTGCTGTGATGCTGTCCGCAGCTTCTGCAGCACCAGTTCGATCCCAGCCGCCGGGTGAGGGTCCTGCATGGCGTGCGGACCTCTCTTGCTGCCAGCTGCTCCCCTTTGTACTTCAGTCATTCTGCCTGCTCTGCTCCCCGCTCTGGCTCTGGTGAATTCCCTCACCCTCCCGTATGCTTCTGATTGTACCCAGTACTTGTATAATAAATAAATAAATCTTTAAAAAAAAAAAAAAAAAAAAAAAAAGAGGGCCTCCCGGTGGCAGGCATGATTGAGCACAGCGCTGTGAAGCTGTCCACAGCCTCTGCAGTGCGGGTTCAATCCCGGCCTGCTTCGGAGATGCCCACATGGCACGGCAGACCTTCCTGTGTTGCCCGCTGCTCCCCTCAGCAGTGTACTTCAGTCT